CGGTTCAAACTATCAGTTTTTACTCGTTACGATAGCGTCAATAACTGATTAAGATACTTATAATAATGTCTGGAATAATACTATACTATGTATATATAGGCCAAATACCACTCACTCACTCGCTTATCGCTACATCTCAAAACCTACGAAACGTATGAACTTGAAATTTAGAATAGTGATTCCTCTAATGATCTATTTGTGCAATAAGACAGGATGCAATAAGACAGGATTTTCCGAGGTAGGCAAACAGGTGTGTTATTTGTAATTATTGTTTTCAAAATGGGATATTAACACATTATTGTTGATCGGTCACACAACGTCACAACACACACGAAGAAATATAATAATATCATATAAAATCAACGGGCTCTTTTTAAATTATAATAATATTGCATTTTTTTGTCGATATTGTGTATAATGACGCGTACTTTCCGGTTTTTACTTCTCGTGTCGAATTCGTCGGATCCGCACGCTTCTCGTGTTTTAATAATAATAATGTATACCTAGGCGCGTATCTAGATTTCTACGATAATAATACTATTATATATCATTATTTGTGTAGGCCTACAACTATGGGACTCTGCAGCAGAGCGGTGAGGGCAAATAATACTAAAATATATAATAATGGCCGGTGTCCAATTGGCCGTGAGCTGCGAAATAAGCGTGGAAAAATACGGCGGCGTGGGCGGATTATTTTGCGGCGTTATTTTTTCACGCACGCACGCGCCCGTATTACTTATAAAGTTAATAGTTATATATATATATAATATACGTGCTTATACGTACGGTCAACGGGTGCCAAAATAACACAAAAAATTATATATACTGACGGTCGTGGTATGTGCTTTCTGCATGTATAATAATAATAATAATAATAATATGTGGGATAATAATCACGTGTAACGAATCGTCGAGATTATAATAATAATAACAATGCGATCGAATGAGACCTCCGTGCAGAAAAATGATATTTGATGTGCGTGTCTATATTATAATACACCTACAGTAAGTCGGTGTTATCGTCTTCGCCACTATATTTTCATTGTTGAAAATATAATATAATATTATTGTATTATGTTTATTAACAAATGACAACGAGCTACGTTATATTCTCTTGTGCGTAACGTGCGTGGATTTTAGTTCAAAAATATTGTACGAAGTCCAAACACTTTATTAAAATCTATTGCGTTGTTGTCGAGTGTGTATTATAACTACAATGTGAAGTCAAAAAGACTAACCCCGAATCCAGATAAAGATTAACGTCAGCACACAAGACGTGAACTCAGCGCTCAAAATAGACCCCTGCAATGTCCTTATCATTGTTATTAATAATATAGCCCTTAAAACAAACAAATGTTTGTTATGATATTTTAAAAAGGTCAACAAGTGTTCTTATTATTTGTATATAAGTATTCATCAATAAATTTTTGTTTGTATTTAATATCAACAATTTGAGATCTGTGGTATTGTAGGTTATAGATGATCGTTTATTACCTATCCTATATAAAATCACGTGAAAATTGGGTGTAATACACAGTCGTTACACCCGGATTAAACTTCTATACTTCACATAAAAATGAATTATTTCTCATATTTAAAGTGATGTCAGCGCAATATTTTACTTATCTTTCTGACCCACCCGCAACATATCAAATTTGCGTTCAAATGAACCAATCTATTTTTGTTAGCTAAATATAGTACTGTACTTACTCATTTGTTTATAAATATATAAATTCATAATGATTCGATTAACAATGAATATTATTGTTAATATATATTATTTGGTTTACAAAACAAAAACATTAAAACATTCCATTTCATTTTGATTGAAATGATTCACAATTGTTTGTGGTGCGCAGAGACGCAGTACCTACTGTAGCAAAATTAGTCGACATATAAGTTGGAATTAATGATTCAGTAAAATATAACGGTTCAATAAATAGTCCATAGGAATTAATCTACTTTTTCGTCAAAGGTTAAATTTCTAGAAATGTATAAACGCAATTGTATTGTAAAAATAATTTTTAACTAATTATATTCTTCAATTTAGATTTTATGTATAACTGTAATAATATATAGCTAGGTAAAGACAATGTATTATTATTTACTAGTGTTATAAATAATTTTGGGTTGGGACGGAAATAGGACATCCTTTTAAGTTACCCGGGACTGAATTGGTACATTTTATTTTATCACAACATTTTAGTTTGGGACGAAACTGGTATGCTGCAGCCCCTTATACACAAACGCTGACTGTTCCTTAGTAAAACCCTCATTATACCAACTTCTGTGTCCTGCACTACATATAGCATATTATTTTCAATTTCGTACCGCCGATAAATCAAGTTTGACGGTCATCGTGGATTTGTAGTTTGTACACACTATACCATGATAGGCTATGATTATATCTACAACAGTCAGTAAATTACTGTCGAAAGGATTTCTAGTACGAGTTGATGGAACCAGTGAATAACATACATTAGTGATTGATGTGCTCGCAATCTTCGGGAAATGGGTGACATGTATCGCCGGACCAGAAGTGACGAAGCTCGAATTTAGACATATACAGTAAGACTCGTTTTGCTGAGATTTCGCTGAGCTGTACAACACTCAAAACAGTTTTTCTCCGACTAACCGACCGAGACGATGGGAAATATCGTGGTTACTTCTGACCGTATATAATATACCATTATTCTTTAAGCCGAATTCACTGCAACCGCGTGTGTCGTGTAGTCCAAATCGCATTGTTATTGGACGTTATTATTTTTGTATCGTGTAATGACCAAGTTGCAACCGAGTATACCAAGAATTGACTACAGCTCAGCTCTTAAACCAACATGGTTATCAATCGTAACCATATTTACCAAACCCTCGCACAACACGACACGCGAAGTAGTAGTGAAAAGTAGTAGTTTAGTCGGTCTTTAAAGGAATCATTGACAATCGATAATAGCGAGAATCAGTCTGACAAAACGGTCAGTGGCCATCGTTTCTACTTTCCTGTAACACTGGTCAACAGAGAATATCGCGGTTATCCGATAATGAGTACCATACACTTGTATATGGACGAGAGTCACATCAACTGCCAACGGTGTATGTAATGCCGTGTACATTTGGTGACTGCGGTTCATACCACTATATATTATAGTTACTCACCAGCGTGTAACCACGACATTTTCTGTTGTCGGTCAGTTAGCCCGGAGAAAAAGTTGTCTTCGTGTCGTCCGTCATGCAGTTCGATTCTCGATCAAACTGTTTTCACGCCTTCGTCATCCACGAGAGGTGATACTATATTAAAGTATAAATACTATATTATAATTAATAGTGATGTGCAATGTGAAAGATTCAATCGAAAAGAAACGAGTCTAGGACGTGTATTTACGATCCTAACATGGATTATTTTAGAATTGTTTGTTATTAGTTTATTGGGTACATAATGTTTTTATAATGCCCAGGGTCGTGGCAACAATGAAAAAATGTTCTTTTCAAGATTTAAATTTTTAGCTTTTACTAACTATAACGTGGGGATCAGCAAGAGTTTCTAACCTAATATGGCATTACGATTTGGTTTTCTTTTTTAACAATAATATATTTTCAGCAGAGTTTTGGCTGTCGTCCTTCTATTTTTCTGGTCGCGTTATCGAGACTCACAAGTACTTTTAGCCATTTTGGGTACCTTTACTTCATCATTATGTAGTGCCTATGGTTAAAATACCTATGTATGTGTAAATATGTATAATATAACCAATGGCGTATACATAACTTTTGTATGGGGGGGGGATCAGTTGCAAACAAATTATTGTGGAACGAAAATACCTAAACCTAGGTATGTGCTCATTTAAATACCTAATAAATGATAAAACATATATATATATTCAATACATTTTATTTTAAATTCTACAAGTAATTATAGAACAACATTTAAATTTCTTTTTTTTTAGTCAATAATATTTTATTATTTAAGCTATTTTTAGCTTTCAATGAACAAATTACTGATAGCTAGTATGTTGTAGGTATATCCATGTTAGTTGATAATATACAAAATTGATAATGTTTTGGTATAAATGCGTAAAAACCATCGTGGAATAACCTTATATTATACCATAGTCCATAATAATATTTCTTTTTCTAATGTATAGGAAAATGTATTATTATACGCACGGACATGCGGGCGTTGTCTCCGCCGCATTGATATCGGTGACGGTGGCGACGGCCCGTGGCTCGTCTACCACATATTATTATTCTTATAATAATTTATTATACTTGTATATATAATATACAATATACATATTATCAAATATCACATAATACGATTATATGAATATGAAATAAATATATGATTACTGATTAATATTAAGTAAATTATTTTTAATTAATTGTTGAATATTGTGTTAAAATAAAAATTTACAAAAAATCCTTTCCATTTTTTTTCCTTGTAATTTCCTTACATTAAGTCATTAAGAACACTATTTTATAAAATTTAAAAAAAGGCCTATGGGGGGATCTGAACAGGGGCCCCCCCTTGTATACGCCCCTGAATATAACCTACGTACCAATATAATATAATTCAAATGATGTTCCCATACCTTCACATAATACTTAGTTAAAAATCTGGATCTTCATCAGATCCTATACGAGTAGGAGTGTAGGACGTGTGTGTTTATACTTTGCGTTTGAATAGTTATGATCCAAATGATTATTTTATTATAATAATTAGTACTGATAAAATATGTCTGTTCTAAACAGCCTATAAATATGCCCTAGAAAGGCATCAAAATGCCTTTAAAAATAACAAATTATTCATTGAGAATATAATATAATAAATTAAACGAATGGCATCGAATAGCGGTGACAATCTGTATTGTTTTATTATTATGACGTAATCGCTGATAACTTATCCAACAACATATTGTTATGCAAAAATCATTGACATTCAGGAAAATAAAAAACTTAGTCTTATCGGTTTCAATAACGTTAACGATTTTGTTTGTTTCCCGCAGTGGACATCAAAAGAGACATCGACTTGTTTGGTTTGCCGAAGAGCCGACGTTCGGGGGTCGGTATGCAGATTGAGCACTCGGTGAATAACAACAACACGACTAGCACCAACAACAATAGAGTGGCGGCCGCGGCCGACGTGAAGACGGAACGCTTGAGCCCGGTGGCTGCGGCGGGCGGCGACTCAGCATCGTCGCGTAGCGGCACGCCGTCCTCTTCGTGCTACCCCAACACGCCGCCCGGCGTCTCTGCCGCGGTGGACCGCGTGTCCAGTCCTGCGCCCAACCGAAACTGCAGCGACCTCATACGAAGTCTGGCCGCCAAGTACCAGAATGCCAACCCCAGCGAGTGAGTAACATTAATAATATATAACGATATTATATCATAGATTTACTTGGTTTTCTCCGTCGGATTGTCGCGGATTATTATTTCCGAAAACCTACCTATTAAGAGCAAGTCGAACCCGCGTGTGTTGTCTCCGTCTTACACACATACAACATAGCAAATGTTCGTTGGCTAGTTTCAATAGGGTATTGTCAGTTTTTATATTAGAGTGAATCGACCTATTATCAAACTTTTAGGCAACAACATTAGCTGTGTTCTCTCGTTGGTTTTTTACTATATTTTAATTTTTAAGCGAGTTATGGGCATGTAAAGTATTCATATTCTAAAATGTTCATAACTCACTTAAAAATTAAAATATCGTGAAAAACCAATGAGAGAACACAGATAATGTTGTTACCTAAAAGTTTGATAATAGGTTGATTCACTCTATTATCAAAACTGACAATACCCTATTGAAACTAGTCAACGAAAATTTGAGTATGTCGTACGTGTGTAAGACGCAGACAACACATCCGGGTGGGACGTCCTCTTAATATTTCGAAAAAAAACACTTATATCGATAAGTTTTTGCATGGTGGTCCGTAGACGGGTTCTCGACTAGGTTTTTATTAGTCGTGTTTTGACGTTTGATCCGATATAGCGAAGACCGTTTCGCTTTGATCGTAGTTGTTGGTAGCAATACGTCATCAAAATTCAACCGATTTACATTTGTTATGGAAATTTATCTTGGAAATCCGTAAAAAGACCTTGCAGTATTATAGATATTATTGTTGTTTTCTAATAATTATTCGACTACTGTTGTAAAAGAAAAACAAAACACTTAACCGATATAATATAGTAATTAAATAGTAGTACAATAGAATCGACGAAGTCAAACAATCGGACATTAAAAATAATAGACGATATCCACTCCACGGCAGCCGCCCAACTGTATTAACCTGTACGACACGTTGTAATAATAGCGAAAAAACGACACGAGCTGCAGGGTAATTAAATTAAAATTTACGATCAAACGACTGCAGTTTGATGAACACATAGGATAAGCATGTTACAATTTTACACAATTTTTCCTTTTAACACGATTTATAAGGTCCGTAATATTTTTTCATACACTGCCGCAACCCACATTTATGTTTATTACGATCTCATTGTTCCCTTTTATAAATCGTATACGTATTATACAATATATACATAAATGTTATGTGTAGTTGAAATTGCGTAATTCGCGACGGACTAATTAATGCGGAATAAAATCGCAACTCGTTATCATATTACAGAAGATATTATCGTGTGAAGTCTTTACGAGATCGTTTTCATTATTTATCGTATTTTACGCATACCTGTTCAAAGGAATTCAATTAAAATAATATGTGTGCTGTACGCTTCTATATAGAATTACACGATTTCAACCCAAAAGATAACGTTCAAATCGTGTTCGATTACTACCTATAATCGTACGCTTTGATTTAAAATCCTAATTCTATAGTGTGCATTTCTGTAGTATTATATTATAGACTCACGGATATATATTATAATAATAGTTGAGAATCGTCTAGGGAGCTGAGATACGGTAAGATACGTTGCAGGAGATGGCTGAAATACGTATCTATATATGATGTTTACGGTCGAAAGTTGAAAACTTTAAGCTTATAGTTGGTGAGTTGTGGTGTAACGACGTCATTTCTGACTAAGTTTGTGTCCGGAAACATCTATATCGTCGGCCTAATTCGTAAAAGTCGTATCTCCATTTTTTGTCATTTTGGGATTATTTACTCATAAAATAAAGAAAAAAAAACTGCGTCTGTTGATACAATCAAATTTCCGATTTCATAATATTATCCTCCATGAAATTGATAATTAGAAATCGTCGTATCTCTAATTAATAATATGGCCGTAAAACGTTTTTTTCTTCTCCTGAACAATTTGTAATTTTGGACATACGACCTTTGCGAATTAGGCCGACGATATATAAAAATCCAAAATTTCGAGTGAACCTAATACCCACCCCGATTACCGTACACAAAACATTTATTACCGTAACATTGATTAATTAATCAGGTGTGATTGCGGTTTGGTAGTCATAGTCTCGGAATCGCTGTCAGTCAACTTAAGCGGAGGCGCTAAAATAGTAATAATAACAAGAATATGTCGATACGGCGGGCGTTCATTAAAAAACATAAAGAGAAATAATCAAAATTTCTGTCACGATCTGCTCGTATACAAGTACACAACAGCTATTATATAGACGGAATAATTATTATCCGCCGTCTCTCGCACACGCTTTCCTTCCGTAAAAAACGCGTTCGTTTTAAAAAGCGACCAACAACGACGCGCGGTGGCAATTCTCACGAAATCAGCTGAGCGTTTTTTTTCTTCGTTCAGACGATTAACAGGACTGAATTATTATTATTATTATTATTATTATTGCGTACACGACTCGACTCGCGCAGCGCCTTGTAATCATTGTGTGTGCGCCAGCCAAATAGCGTATGAGCTCACTGCACCTATAATACTATATATATATATAGGTACTTAGCAGTAATCGTCGAGCCAGTATAAACGATAAACGATAATCGTATTAACGATAATACTCTGGCGAACATGCGCAGTGCTGGATTCACCGGTATAGGAAAGTGGGGTTCGTTTTATAAGGGAGTTTAAGAGCTAAAAAAAATAAATAATACTATCTATTCATCATTTAGTTACAGGTCAGTTGTACGTCGTGTTGTACTGCACTCGTCCATACTAAGTACCTATATTAAGTATCATTACTTTAATTAACATAACAAATTATGTGCACGACAAATCAATAATTATTATGTTGATTATGATGAAACGATTGCTCTGCAAAGAAGGCCAAGAAAATACGTTTTTAAAGTATTTCAATATCCACATTATTTTTTTTTATCAATAACATTATCAAGGATTTTCAATAATAATATACTATTTTTTCTTGTATAGACATAGAGTCAAAATCAAAAATTAACGCAGAAAAGACTGTTCACAGGTCATACATTTTTGGTGCTTTTGAAAAAAAAATAAAGGTCGTTTTCGTGAGTCCTGTGAGCCAAATGTCCTAGATCCCTACAATGCACATTCCTTCACGCCACATCTAGTTATGCAACACGCGTATAATAGAATGAGCTTATTTTAATATAATATTATATGTATTATGTACAAACGTATTTTATCGTAGTCTTGAGTGTTATACGAAAACGTTGGAACGCAACATTTCACGCCAGTCGTTTGGCTATTTTCTGCCTTGGCGATACTTGACTTGAATAATATTCTTATTTGGGTCAACGACTCTCATCGATTTTCCTTCATCACTCTTTGCGTGAATCTCCAGATCACAACAACACCACAGTAGTAAATAAAACCTCTTTACAACGTCACGGAATTATAATATAGTTAAGTATAACAAACAACGTTTCCGTATTTTGTATAGATTCTAATATAATATTATAATAAGATATACATCTCCCTTCATGATATTAGGCTTGTGGTATGTTAGTCGATTAGTGAATCCACAATAATAAAACACTCGTCACTCCAGGCTGCGGCTCGAGGCTGGGTCATTATTTACTTCCCAAACATGATTTAAACCTAGGGTAACTACTGTCTTTGAGGAAGTGAATTTTTCATCTACTATTATTATTATATTACTATCGTTTAATTTTTTCTCTTAACGAATTTAAATTAAAAATTCTTTCACTCCTTTTTATCCTATATTAATTTTTCATCCTCAGATAACTTCATCTAATTAAGATTCTCGTTGCCATACTTGATACTGGTTTCAAAATTAAAATTCGATGGTTCTTATGCACACAATGAGCTCAATTTTGATCTTATTAATCGATCGTGTTAATTTAATGGTTGTAAATGTCATTACTCATTAGGAATAATACCCTTGCTTTATTTGATCAGTTAAGTGGTTAGATTAGGCGTTAAGTACCAAATACATATTATTATTATAATCATGAGGTTTTAAATTTGTTTGTTTCCCTTTCGATTCAGGTACATGCCTTCGCGGAACGGTTTAAGCCTCGGCATACTGTCAGCTGCCACCGCCGCTGCAGCAGCGGCGGCTGCCGCGGCCGCGTCGACCAAAGACAACGGCTGCGACGGGAGTCTGCTGAACCCAGGATTTCCATTCGCGACGCCCACCATACCTGGGACCAACGTGCCCATGTTCCCACCCATGATGGACATGTCGTCCACGCAGGCGCTACTGTCCATGGTCCGGTCTTCACAGTTTGACGCGTTCATGAGCGGCAAGACCGGCGGTGGCACCAAGCGGCCTAGCTCTGCTTCGTCGTCGTCGTCCAACCAGCTGCACCCTCACAACATCGGCTCGGCGGCCGCTGCCTCAGCGTCCGAACAGAACCCGCTTGACCTGTCGTCGTCGTCGAGTCCATGCAAAAAACCTCGCAAAGGTCATCCGCCTGCGCCCGGCCAATGGGAGAGCGCCGCGGCCGCCGCCGGATCGTTTGCCGAAACGTTCCTCAACATACCGGCTTTCGGTCTGGCTCTGCAAAAGTCCCGGGAAAAGGTCGCCCTGACCTGCAATGGCGTAGGCGGCAACAACAAGCGGCTGGGCAGCGTGTCGCCGAAACCGTCAAAGGCTCCGTCGAAACAGTCCCCGTGCCATCAGACCGCTCCCAGCCGGGTGTTACCTTGCGCTTCGACCTGTTCCGCACCGTCGGCCACCTCCACCGCCGATAAACACACCTGTCCCAATGTGGCCGACAAGTCGGTAGTGTCTTCGTGGACGGTGGATGACGTGTGTGATTTCGTTGGAACCATCGACTTGTGCGCCGAGTACTCACAGGTCAGTAGTGTTATATAGTATGCATTTGTTTTAGTTTATAAGTTTAGTAGAATAGTTTAGGTTTTAGTAATATTTAGGGCCCTATGTACACTTGAAACGTATAAAATATTCATGAATTTATCATCATTGCAATATTATGTGCATACAAATCAAATTGTTCAAATTAAATTTGTAATGCATCTGTGTATAATATATTATAAACTGAACCATCACATGGTATCACTTTATTTTAATATGGTAAGTTTGAGAGTATAGTTATCAACTAGCGATTATCCAGTGTAAATGTTAGATCGTAACTATCAAAATGACGTTTGTCTAAAAACTTCTGTAAAATCGTAGAAACCCATACAAAATTCGTAGTAAATATCTATACAATTATGATCAAACTATAGGTACCTATTATATTATTATTGTCCTGCACTAATCGATTATACACAAATTGCACGTAAACGAAATAATAATCAACGGCATTGTATTATACTCAAGTCTGGCTATCGTCATGAACTTTAGAACTTAAAACACTATTGGACAGTGAATGTAATTTATGTACATGTGACCATGGATCTCGGAGAAGATAACTAATAGTAAGCTCCGGTGTTGTTATTATTATTATTAATATGGGCGCCGTGACTTGTCCGAAGATTCAATGGTTGCGCAACATTAAAATTTCGTAAAGGCGTTACGGAGCACGATGTACCACTAAAGCCATCAACACTGCAACAGTAACATCAGCAGGTGGTCTGAAGACATGACATATCGCAAATGAAGATTTAACTACCGTGATCCACATTATAGGCGTGTACATATTATACCTTTACTTTTTGTTTTCTCCTCTTTATGAAACCGTCACGACCGATTATTTTTATTTTTATATCTTAAGAGGTAAACGTTGCGAAACGACAGCCGGTCGATTTTCGTGCCCCGATAGGCCCGCCGTTTGCTCTAGATACACACACACACACACATTCGTCGTATACACGTGTGTGCACACATATACACATCTCGCGGACGACAAGTGAAAGGTCACACGCAAAACTAACGCGAGGTCAATATATATATATAAGTGGATTCATGTATATAATATACTGTACAGTGTACAGCGTACACACAATCAAGCCAGAAAGGAAATTAACTAGTTTAAAAAAAAAGTATTTTTATCCTTTTTCTCCATCCCTCAGACAAGGACGCGACGACAACGTTTTCATACGTGTACAACGCTCCTGGCAATGCGATTTTTGATTTATCGCTCGACGTTTTTCCGCGCTTTCTCGCACGCGCCTCGTACCTTATTACTTATACCTATAGATTCCAAATAATGAGCGTTTATACTGGGACCATCCAACGTCGAGGCGTGACCAGGCGAGTAGAGTTTTGGTATTCGAATGTATAGTAGAGATGGGCTGGGCTCAGAACTGACGGCATAAAATTGGAAAATAATATTATGCACTTAAAAAAGTTGAATTATGCAATTAAATATGCACCGTCGATGATATTATATGCTGTGAAATCAAAAATATACAATAATACAAGTAGTTAAAGAAATGTATAAACCTATTTTTATTAAGCATATTTTTACATAAATAATTGTGAAAATAATGTCCAAGAGAAAGAAGAAAGAATATTTTTATACCGTGTCAAGAATAACAATGTCAGAGTTTATTCATTTTCGGGAAAAACTATTTTTTTTCTTACGTATAAATTATTTAAAATATAAAGTAAGTCAAAAAATACGTAATAGAAACCAACACATATTTTTTTATATTATGCGCATTTCTAAAAACAAAAAACAAATAAACAAAAATATGCACAATATAATGAAATGTCTATGAAATCTAGACACCACTATACAAATTTGTACCGAATCAGAATTTTTCGTTTTTTTTCTTTTCTAAAAATAAATGAAATGCATATCGATTCTCTGATGAACTGTTGTATAGATCAGCTTGCAATTCGTTGTCCGGTCTAATCCGTTGTAAAATTATCCCCATAATGAACCATGTCAATGATATGGTGTAAACACTGTAAACATCCCGATGAGCTTTTTTCACATCGTTTTGAGCCAGCGAATTTCTATTCAATCATTCTTGTTGTATATTATAACGTTTTGCGGGAATATTATTGTCTCTGTTATTATAGTGTGGCGCTGCGCTCGATCCCGCGCAGAAATCTGTAAAACGTTCAATACGTTTTCGTTCTATAATTGTTTTATTCCATTTAAACTTCATTAATCCCTGAACCCCGTTACGTGAGGTACTGAGGTTTTTAATACGTAGAAAGCCCAATAATTTATTTATAATTATTTATACATGTGAGTGTATTATATAATATGTAGAATGTGTGTAATAATAAAATAGGAATTGAACGTCGGAAATGCCTGCACGTTCTTATTTCGATTATGTTCCGATGATTTTTAGACCGAATCTTAATGATCCACAGCGGAGAACTCGTGAGCGTTTTTTGCTCCTAAGTCATAGAAAAAAAATGGCAATAACGAGTATTTCCTACTTACAGAGTACCTATGAATTATCATATATATAACAGTACTGCAAGACACTGAGCAGTGAGAATTCCATCCAACGAATCTTATACCTAATACCTATGAATGGTGAAAATGTTTACACACGACAGCACACGCATCCGCCGCTGAGTGTATATATGTACACTTTAAAGTATATATTTTGTAAACTGTACAAATATACGATATTTATTTACGAGCGGTTGGAGAATCGAAAGATCCTGTCCGAAACAGTATTATTATCCTTTTATCACGAAAATTCTTTTCAATTCACTCAGAAATCGAGAAAACTCTTAACAATATGCATTCACCCACTCTGCACTGCGTGTAAAATATAATATATACTCTCACCGTATTTTCGATATAGACTCGGTGAAATCCTAACGTCGGACAATGAATAATAATGGTATTATGATTATATTTTGTGACGTGCGTTCGCTCATTAGGTCCGTCCCGAGTTTTCTTTTACTGTTCTGCCTAAAGGTCATATTATACGTAAATTGCAGATAGGTATATAAGAGATTTTCACCCTGCACGAATAGTAGTGAGTTATTGTTACAAGAACCGCCGTTACAATTTATATAATTACAGTTCTTTTCAATAAACGCATTTTCGTTTTGGAATGAGTCTAAGAAGAACACCACGACCGAATTGTATATCTATTATACGTTGTGTTCGTCCACTTCAAAACACCCGAATAGGTACTTTACAATCGAAACTTGTGCAACTATCCGACGAGTGATGACAATATGTAGTACACATAATTATTAGCATTGCATTCATTGAGCATTTTGAAGACACATTTGCAGTTATGGACCACTGGCATTGAACTTAACAAATAAATATAATTATTTGGCACTTATAATATAATAATATCATACCTGCAATTGTGGACTAAGTTAGGTACAGAGTATATATGCTTTTAGAGCTTTTTTTTAGAAAAGTTAGATTTTATAGACAAATAACATATATTATACTATAGTAAAGTGGGTTTTCAGATTAAATTATAAACGGGAAAAAGGAATTACTCGTTATTGGCAATGAGCATTTTTCTATATGTCAATAATGTTTATGTTTTGATATAATATGTAATATATTAATATGTATTTATAATTTAATTGCTTGGGGGTACGTAAAAGTGTAAAACGAAGCCAAGCGATATAAAAATTATTATTTTTAATTAAAATGTAAACATTATGTTAAGTACACTTGTACACTTCCGTACTATCTTAAGGCATTTTTCAAAGTAATTTAATTTCAGTAACAAGCAATATATTTTTACAAGTATACAAAGTTTTATTACCTATATGAGTTTTAAAATTATTTGAGTATAAATGTTGTATTCTTGTTTAAATACATAAAGGTATCAAATTGAATAATTTCACTATTATATATATTATATTATACCATATGACTCAAAATCACTATAATTTAAGATTTAAAGATTTTACTGGTTTCAGTTTAATATGCTCATATGTGTACCAGAATTATATAATAAAAGTGGTTCGGCACCTACTAAGTATATAGTCATATCGAAGATATTTATAAAAATGTCTTCTGCACAAAATTGCCATTTCATGTACAATGCACTGATAATGTTACATGTTTATAACTAGCACTGTATTTTAAAATACATTCTCAGTAGATAGTGAATAATATGATCTACCCCAGGAAAAAATATACACGATAGTAAGCCAATAAAAAATTTAATGACCCAACGTGGAATGTAATAAAACTCATTATCGTATTGTTTATGGCTGAAGTGTATTTAGTACTCACTTTTACCTTACAAAATGAAATATTGATACGTATTTTTTCAAACAATATTTACAATCTATTTATGCCATATTAAATGTCCGAACATTTTTATATCAAGATATATTATGATAGTAATTGAACTAACTGCTACACAGCAAATTTAATTGATGTATTGTGTTCAATTCACAATGTATGGTATTTACTATTTTTGCATTCGTCAGGAACATGATGCATTCAAAACAATCATCTCTGTGTAATTGAAGAATTTCAATCATTTTTTTTCTTTTCCGTTTTTGAAACACTAAAATATGAGACAACGTAAATCTAAAATGCGTAATTTTTTATTGAAAGTATGCTTTGACATCGTTAGTTACGCACTTACGCACCTTTTATTCCGTCGGACATTCAGCAATCATCAATTTTGGAACAAAAAAGGTCTACCTCTATTTTCCGGTTCAAATAAAAACTTGCAAAATTGGACCTATTAAAAGGCAATTTTTCCTTACACGTCTAAATTGTATTACTATAAACGAAAATGTATTTTAATTTATAGCTTCCAGTGGTAAAATATGTTCGTTTCGGCCCGTCGACTCGACGGTATACGTCGATAGACCGTCGCCGCGGTGGAGCTATTTAGACGAAAGTAAACGTAATGGTAATAGTAATAATAATATATTATGTTGAGTCGCGTTATAAATTATGCGTTCTGAAATCATGACGTATAACCAGGTATAGCTGGTACCCG